TCTCTTATCTTTCTTGAATTCCAATTGCACCTATGTTAGATTATTTAATATTTTCCCATAGCTCTTAGATGATTTTCTCTGTTTCTTCCCTTATTTTTCTGTTTATATTTCAATTTTGGTAATATTTTTTGAGTTATCTATAATTCCAGTAATCCTTTGTTTTTGCCACAATGAGCCTAATAATGAGTCCATTAAAGACCTTCTTAATATGTGTTACATTATATAAAACAATTCTAGCATTTCTGCCTGAATCTTATAGCTTGCATCTTTTTGCTGGAATTCCTCAACTGCTCTTGCATGCTATCTATTTTTTCCTTTAAGGCTTTAATATGTTAATTATATTAAATTCCCTGCCTGATAGTTCCAGTATTTATATTATATCTGAGTATTATTATGATGATGATTTGTTGAGGTGACATTTTGCTCTTGTTGCCCAGGCTGGAGTGCCCTGGCATGATCTCAGCTTGCCGCAACCTCTGCCTCCCAGGTTCAAGCAATTCTCCTGCCTCAGCCTCCTGAGTAACTGGGATTACAGGCATGCGCTACCATGCCCACCTAATTTTTTGTATTTTTAGTAGAGATGGGATTTCTCCATGTTGATCAGGCTAGTCTCGAACTCCCGACCTCAGGTGATCCACCCGCCTTGGCCTCCCAACTGAGTATTATTTTTTAAATGATTATGTCTTGATATGATGTTGTTTTATTCTTGCTTCTTTGTGTGTACTGTAATGTTGGGTTGCAATTCAGATGTTTTGTATGACAGTAGGGACTGAAAAATGTGTACACCTCTTTTGCTAGGCCGTAACAGTATGTGGGGAGGTTAAGAAAATCTAGGCAGTAGTTGAGCTTGGTTTGGATTTTGTTTTAGTTATGGTTACCTTAGAAACTTTTTGAAACTTCCTTTTTTATTGAGGAATAATTTATGTACAGTAAATTTACCCCTTTTAGTATATAGCCCTGTGAGTTTTGACAAAGGAGTGCTGTCATGTAACCACCACCACAAGCAAGATACAGGACAATTCCATTACCTCCTGGATTTCCCCAGGCCATTTTGTGGTCAGCCCTTTCTCCATCCCCAGTCCTTGGCAGCCAATGATCTTCTTTATGTTACTTACATGGAATTATACAATAGGAAGCCTTTTGAATTTGCTTCTTTGACTTAGCATAATGCATTTGGGATTTATCCATGTTATTGCATTTTTAGTAGTTTATTTTTATTGTGGAGTAGTATTCCATGATTTGAAAGTATTACTGTATTTTGTTTATCCGTTTATCAGTTGAAGGGATCTTTGAATTGTTTCCAGATTTTGGCATGGTTAAATTGCTGTTTGACTTGGGATGTTTCTAACTATATTTATATATGAATTTGTTTTACTGTTTTTCTCTTGCTAATTTAATGTTTTTGTCTTTATTATTTCCCTTTTTGTTCTATGTTTTATGCTTCAGTTATTGTTCCTAAAGGCAGTAAATGTGCTAGGATCTTTGTAAAGGAGACAGAATGAGGTACAGTGATTTCACCACTCAGGTATCTTTGAGTGTATGAAAAAAAAGAGAGAGGAAGTTGAATTTTACTGCCAGACTCACTGAGGCACAAGAATATATGTCCTTACACTATTTGATTGACATTGGCACCAGGATTTCCCAGCGTGAACATTTTCTGATTCTTCATGCAATAATATTTCAATATTTGAGGAAGTAAGATGGCCATCTCCCAAGTTCACTCTTTTATTTCTTTCTTGGTGCTACACACATAAAAGTACTCCTGGTTTATGGAACCATGCTAGAGCTGCAAAAAGAGCCATCTTCTCAACATCCCTATTTTATAGATTTTTTTTAAAATGCAGGCTTAGAGAGGAGAAGAAAATTGTTTGAGGGATCCTGGTGGTTAAGTTCTGAAAGTTAGACTCTTCATTGTTTTGGAGAGTGGCATCACAGGTTAGGTGAAGCCCTGACCCCTACACCTGGAGAATGTGAGAAGTTACACAGAGTATTCAGGAAAGAATTTGTTTCCTCTTCTCTTTAAGCAAATTAGGCCCAAGTACATATTTTCTGAAGTGATCATCTTATTTGTCTTTTGATTTACCTCAGATTAGGACCTGATCTAAGATAATAGGTGAGAGACCGGGATTCCTGTTCTTAAGAACTATATTTCATTTCATGGTGGCTAGAGAGCTTATTAAAATATTTATGTGTGTGAACTTTGGGGAGCCATAGCCTTTATTTATTTTCTCCTTAAATGATGATATAATTTATGTGACAGAGAATTCTCTGCTCTCAAAAAAGGCAATTGAAGAGTATATATGACATGCATCTGTGTCGGCACATGCTTTTCCCTGTGTCTGGAATACATGTCCTTATCTTTGCTTAGGGAGCTTTCACTCTTCCTTCAGGGTAAGTCACCTCATACTTTACCCAACTGGATCACAAGTGTCCCCTTAGAAGTGGTTTTATAGCATACCTCTATCTTGATAATCATCACACTAAATTTTCAGGGCTGGTTTTCTTGTTTCTCTCTTTAATTAGGCTGAATTCCTTTAGGGTGATGCCCTCAAGCCTAACACATGTTGAATGTGACTTTGGTGTAGCTTAAATCACTTGCTGGACTAACCATTGGGCCTGAAGCAACTGAAACAAAGCGTATGTAATGACACTTTTGTCATAGACCTTGGATTGCCAATGGCTTCTGTTGCCTTAAAGGAAAAGCTTACAAAGTACTGTTGCTAACATTTCTTTCATCTTTTGAACTCTCCTGAACGAAGAATCTTGGGTGGGCTAGGTCAGTATGTAGATTGGAGATTGGGGGAGATGATTTATGTAAAGAGTCATAAAATATGTGTTGGCCCTTTCTCCTTTTATCTCTTCCCTTATAGCTCTGGCTTTTTCTAACTCACTTGGAGAGACATTTTAAGGGCTGCCTGCATCAGACCCATTTATGATTTACGGCTCTGCCTTCTCAGCCACCCTGGGAAGAATATTAAAATATCACCCAAGGCTACATCAGCAGCCTATTACTATATTAAAGAGAAGCATATATTAAGAAATGCAAAGGCCTGCAACAGTCTCCAGGAATAGCTCTCTTAAGTAAACACGTCTAGCTTATACATTTTGACATCAGAGGGCATCTTCTTGTAACAAAAGACTTACCAGTTAGTTTTCCTATGGAAACCGGAATAATTTAGTGATAGCTTTTGGAGGCCCCTATTTAAGTCTGTAGCAAATTTGGCCCTAAGAAAAATTTATCAAAATCGTTTGGTTTTCTAGACCAATGATTCTCAAATTTCTTTAAGTATAATAATCTGGTCTCGGCCATTGGTGACTCTGGTTCAAGAGGCATAGGCTGGAATTTAGGAAATGACATCTTTAATAATAACCTCAAGTTTATTCTGATGCAAGTGGTCTGGGGTCCTGCTTTTGGTGAACACTTGCCCAGGACGTCTGGTTGTGTGCAGTCTTTTAGCAGAAGCTAATGATTGGCAGCTCTAGGTTAGGGTTCTGAGCAGGACACGATAGAGCATGAAGGATAAGGGTCACTGACCATTGTAGGTAGTCATGGAGTGAATTATTTGGTGGCCCTTTTGAAAAGGAACAATGGCCACCAGCACCCTGTGCTATCTCTGTCATGGCGATTTCCACTGTATTGTAGTTGCCTATTTGCTTGCACTTTTTTCCAATTAGACTGGAGAGCAGGGACCTTGTCTTTCCTCTCTATACTCATAGCACCTAGTACCATGCTCAGTGTTTGCAGAAGACTAAGTATGTAAGTGAATGACTAGAAAAATGAAAGAATGCGTTATAATTACTTACAAATGAAGACATATTTAAGGATTTCCAGCCTAAAAGTTTGACCAAGCTTGTTAAATATAGCCAACAGAGAAAGATGGTAATGTATGTGAAATATATTTTTAAATATTGCATTGTTCTTTCCTATTAAATATGCAGGAGTTGGAGAGGTGCAGTGACTCCCACATGAGGCTACACCTCATAATCATCTAGGTGCCTTACTGTCTTATTAACTGAGTTTAAAAAGAAGTGAACAAATAATACATACACTTGGCATAAAGTGAAAATTAAGTGTATTATTCCTCACTTCCATTGTACCTCCCTGGAAACAACCATTTCTATCAGTTTCTTGTGTAGCTCTCCAGATATATTTGGAAGCATATGTGTCCATGCCCTTTCTTACCTGAATGAGCCCGTGTTATAAACTCTATGTTGCATCTTTGTTTTTTAACTTAACAATATATCTTAAAGATTATTCCATATTAACACATATAGATCTACCTCATTTACTACGATGGCTACATGGTATTCCGTTATATGGCATCTATTACATATGTATGTAGGTAGTAATCCATTGTTGTTACAAGCAGTGTTGCAGTGAAGATCAGTGAATGTATCTCTTTGAATACATGGACAATTATGTGTAGGATAAATTCCTAGAGGTAGTATTCCTAGGTCAAAGAGAATGTGCATTTCAAATTTTGCAAAACTGCTCCCCAAAGAGGCTGCATGGATTATATTCTACCAATAGTATGAATGAAAGTACCTATTTCCTCGCATTTTTGTTGGGAAAATTTAAAAAAAATAAAGATTCTCAGACCGTCACAATTCTATGGCTTCCAAAACTTCTAGGACCAGTCCAGGGACCTGCTTGTTTTAAAAGTATCTCAGAAAGTGAGATGTTATCAATATTTAAATTTCACACTATTTCACATTTCTGTGATTCTGACTCAGAAGGTCCGTGGACCTGCCTTTGAAAACCACCAGGTTGGTGCATAGCACTCCGTATGCACCTACACTAGACACTGGCTTCCAGATCCTGAAGCCCTTCCCCACTAATAAACAAACAGCTAAGAAGTGAGGAAGTTCTGGGTTGGAAATAATGCTCTGGCACCTTTTGCTTGCAGATCTCCTTTTTCTGCCTTGCTGTGTTTTCCATTTTGGTCTTAAGTCTCTTTTCTTCTCAGATGAATCACTCAGAGGTCAACTTCTTCCCACAGGTTCACAAGAATGTACTTTAAACATGTACTCTTTGAGGACACATTCTTTGACGAGTGCTATTTTGAAGATGTAACATCAACAGATACCTACTTCAAAAATTGTACCATTGAATCAACCATCTTTTATAACACAGGTAGGTAAGAAGATTAATAGACTGAATAGACTGTAACAAGAGACAACTAGTGTTGTCCAAGAATCAAAATGCTCAGGCATAAACTTCAGGAGTAGGAAAGTATTCATAGATACAAATGCCAAGCCTTGGTGGGGAAATGGATTTTAGCCCCAGGCATGGCACAAATTAGGTGCACAGCCTTTGCTAAGGCATTTAATGTATCTGTGTCTCAGTTTTATCACAAATGAAATGGAAACAAAAGTTCTAGCCAAATATCCTCATCTCAGTGAGGCTGATGCTATACACGAAGGGTCTTTGGTACGAACGAAGGATGACATAAATAACAACTAGCATTCCAGGAGGGCTGCATTTTATGCAGGGAATGCATGCATTCTTGAAGACCTTGCATAATTTGAAACTTGCAAAATGCAAGACTCATGTTCTCACAACAATAAATGAAAAGGGAAAATTACATCTGTTCACATTTTGTGCATAAAGTGAAACACTAAGACTATTTTAAAATCATACTATTCCAGATTTCTGTGATTTAAAAAGTCACAAAATTCTACCACTTCACCACTTCTTGTTACTTTTACTACCCTCATCATAAATTAATAACATACCAAGTGAAGTTGGGGTATAAAGAAACCAACTGAGCTTCATTAGGGGGCTTTACCTACATTGTCTCAATGGAGAAATGTACTATTTTTTTTATCCTTCTTTTATAGCTAAGGAAGCCAAGTTAAGGAAATCAAGACTTAAGCAACTTGCTCAAGGCCATGGTTAGCAAGTGGAGGGAATTTGGATTCATTCCTCAATGATTTGGCTCTAAAACCTGCAATCTTTCCACAGAACTACTTGCATTATGTCCAGATCTATGCTTTATTTTTGGCATCAGCAGCAAGGGATAGTTTATATAAGAACATCTTTTTCCTCTATGATATCAGCCTCAAGAGCTTCAATATCTGGTCTCTAAATATTCTGGACTCTCTTAATAATTCCTTCTGGCACTTACCTTCCTGAATTTCCTTTTAGACTGATCTTGAAACAATGATGAGTTCCAGAAGTTTACTAAGTGTCATTAAAAACTGGCGTATCGTTTTATGATTTCAAGTTTGAATGATGCCTCCTCATTTGAATACTCTGATCATGGAGATTCTTGCAAACACATGTAGTCAGGAAATGTCAGAGCTGGGAGAAGCAGTGGAGATGATCAGGTGTACTCTTCCAATTTTGTAGATATTTTAGGTAGAGCCTCAGGGAGGTTAAAGAGGGTCAACAGCAGGGCCAGTTCCTCAAACGCAGGTTTCTGGGGAGCCTGTTTAGGACTTCCTCTGTCAGAACAACTGATCTTAGAAGGTGTCAGAAGACTTGCAAACTGGTTCCAATGCAAATAGCTTTTATTTTTTAGGAATGTTCAGGTTTTGGCACAGACTACAGCAGGGGCTCTGGAGTGACTGGCTCCATCTGGAACCAACTCTCTTGTGTTCTGCTTCCCTATGCCAGGTAGCCTCCAAGGAGAGGCCTAGCTGTCATGGTCCTCAGTGTCTCAGTGTCACCTGATGAGTACAAACAGGACTGTTATCCAGCGGGAGAGTTGTTTTTTTTTTTTTTTTTTTTTTTTTTTTTTTTTTTTTTTTTTTAAGACAAGGTCTCCCTCTTTTACCCAGGCTGGAGTGCAGTGGCATGACCATGGCTCAATGTAGCCTTGACCTCCTGGGCTCAAGTGATCCTCCTGCCTCAGGTGCCAGAGTATCTGGGACTACAGGCACATACCACCCCACCTAGCTAATTTAAAAGAAAAATTTATTTATTTGTTTATTTTTTGTAGAGATAAGATCTCACTATGTTGCCCAGGCTGGTCCTGAACTCCTGAGCTCGAGTGATCCTCCTACCTCAGCCTCCTAAAGTGCTTGTATTACAGATGTGAGCCACTACACCTGGCTGAGAGGATGCATTTTTAAGTCTCTCGGTGTTAGTTTAATTCCCCCTTGCTTTTAGGAACTTGAATAGGTCATTACATTTTTGAAAGTTTCTCATTCATCCATACCTTGATGACCTGACCACATATTACCTTGACTTTGAGGCTGTCTGACTGGCAAAGGCTACCACAGCCTGTCTACGGGAGGGGGCAGATGTCATCCCTGCCTCTGCCTTTCTCTCTCCAGCTCCCTTGCACTTACATGAACCAAAGGTTTCCTTCTCTCCCTAGACCTCTACGAGCATAAGTTCATCAACTGTCGGTTTATCAACTCCACCTTTCTGGAGCAGAAGGAGGGCTGCCACATGGACTTGGAGCAAGATAATGACTTCCTGATTTACCTCGTCAGCTTCCTGGGCAGCCTGTCTGTCTTACCCGGAAACATCATTTCTGCCCTGCTCATGGATAGAATCGGAAGGCTCAAGATGATTGGTGAGTTGTCAGCAGGGTCACTTCTGGGCTCCAACACGCTGGGGTAGTGACTTTCAAGTGTATTAAAACAGGGAAATTTTTCCTTTTATTAAGTAACTATTGCACAATAAACCCAGCAAGTAAGATTGCACATGGGGCTATAGAGCCAAGGATGCGTGCCTATAGAAAACTCCAGAGCTCCTTGGAAATAGTCAAGACTCTTTGGTCTAGGCGAGGGATTTTTGTTCATTTCCTGACAGAGAAATTCTGTGACAGTCATTTAATCTATTAGCACTTCAATAAGGGTAGTAATAATATCCACCCTGCCTCTTCATCAGATTATTGTCAGAAAAATATATAAAATGGTCCTGGATGATGGTTTGATGTTTGAAGGTAAACTGTATTACTTTTATTATTTAATAGCAATACCACTTTAGGCTTTGGAGTCGGACAGAGCCCTGTTGAAGACCTCACCGAAAGGCTGTTTGACCTTGAATGTGTTCCTTTACTTCTCTGGGCCTCAGTTTCCTTATTTATAAGAGAACGATTTCCACATCTAGCTGGTAGGGTTTTGTGAGAATTGAACATAAGGTGCCTGTAATACTTGGCACATTGTAGGTTCTCAAAAATGGTAGCTATATTCATGTATGCCTTGCCTCATTCCATCGGGACTTGCAGCAATTCATTACAGAAACACATGCTATGAATGGTAAACAAGAAGCAAAAAGTACACATTGAGGACCAGGGAAAATGTACATTAGAATATTAGTCAAGGCCAGGGGTGGGGAAGTGGACAACATGTTATTAATAAACATGCCATTAGGGACCTGCCTTAGGGAGGTCGTTGATTAGGAAAGTTATTATGAAGATTCCTAGCAGCAACATGCAAAAGGAAACAAAATAAATCATAAAGCCATTTTGTTGGAGAAGAGGAATTGATCAGGTCTTCATGGAAAGGAATTCTTTTCCTGGCATTTGGCTCATACTGAATATCACTATTATAAATAGTAGCATGCATATTCAGCGTGGTGAGCATGAGAAGTGCCTGTGACTTCAGCTTTTTAATCTCGTGGTGAGGGTGGAGTCATCTCTTAGGCACGGCAGACTTCATGCTCTCCTCTCTTAGAGGGAGTGCCTGGTTAGTCCTGAGGCCCTATGGAGGAAGGGACAATGGCTTACTCATTTCCGTGACCCCTGTGTCCAGCGCAGTGCCTGCAGTAGAGCTGACACTCAGCAATGCCGCCGAACTGACCAGAACAGAATGAAGATGGCCTCTTTCCTAGGTTAACCCCAAACACCAAGCTTTCAGCAGAAGACACTACAGGTTGTCATCTTAAAAAAAACTTCGGCTGGGAGTCAGGTGGCTCCATCTCTGCCAAGATTAGCTTTATGTGTTGACCCAAGTCAACTTCTTTGAGCTTCCATTTCCAGTGTTAAAAAAATACCTCTGTTTGCCTCAATAAGATAGGGGTATGAGAGCAGACATGTGACACTTCTGCCATTTGTCACCAGCCTTATGAGTCCCAGAGTTTATCAGTGGAGTCTCTGGTCTGTTCATGAAGGAGCTGAGGAAGTTTTGGGGGAGGCAGGGTTATAAGGATGGGGTGGGTGCCCATGTCGACGAGAACGTCCCACACCTAACGACCTGCCACATGCTCCCTCGTGGAAGTGGAGGGGGGCGGTGTGGCTGGGCACAGGGGCAGGCGGAATGGTGAGACAGCAGACGTCCTTTCCCTCACCGCTGAAGCCCTTCTTATAGTGAATACATCACAGATCAAAACAATTCCTATAATCCTAAATAAAGGCATGCTCTCCAATGAGAGATCTAGAACTAATATTTAATCATTCTTTATAGCCTACTCTCTTGTGAATGTCTCTGTTTTGTTTCTGAGCTAGAGGCAAGCTTGTTAAGAGCTCAGACAGGGCCTTCTTTGTCTCTCTACCCGTCTGTCTTTAGTAAAAGGCCTGATGTGCAGTGGGTCGACTGTGATATTGACAGTGCATGGTAAAGATGAGGTGCTCAATTAATACCTATTTCACTGGGATATGGGATGTGGCGGAACCACTTTGAAATAGCCCTATCCCCAGCTCTCAGACCAACCCCGCTAGAAAATCTGCAAGCACATTTTTGTTCTGCTTAATCTGCTGGGCTCTTGGTAGTGTGCAAATCATTTCTTGTTATCAGTGGAATAGAAGTTTTCCTGGTTAGGCTGTTACCCACTCATTTATTCACTCAGTAACATTTATTTATACAGTACTTATTCTCTCAAGGCTGGGTGGGAGGCAATGGGAATACATCAGTAATTGAAACAGACAATATCCCTGTGCTTATGGCGCAAATGATCTGTTGGGAGAGGCAGACTTCAACTAGAAATTTCATTTACCTCAACACTATGACATGCTTATTATTATTGAATATTATTAATGTTGAACATGTGTTCAATACTAACGCATTGAACCCTCATGATAACCTTATGAGGTAGGCACTAATTTAATCAACATTTTAGAGATGGGGACAGTGAAACAGCTCACAGAATGGTGAAGCAACTCACTCATGGTCACACAGGTAGTATGGAAGCCGGCATTTGCACCCAGGCCTCCCAATTACAAGAGGAATAAGAATTATAGAAGTGGAAGTACACTGGGCCCTGGGGACTTATAGCAGGAACACCTAACAGAGTTGAAGGATCAGGGAGGGCCTCCCTGAGTATTAGCTGATTTGTCAGATGATCATGCTTTGTGGTTATCAAATATTTGCCAGCATTTACTGTAAGCCAAGCCCCGTGGCTGGCCCCTCTGAGGGATGTATGGATGTAGAGGGTATTGTCCACAGAGCACTCGGGGTCCTAGGCATGCCAGTTTCTGCTGTTCTAGTTCTCTCCTAGCTTTTGGAAAAAGGTTACCAGGCACCTGCTCACAGCCCTACCGCTTCCCAGAGTGGGCAGGATCCAGTTGGGCAGTTATCATTTCCTAGTTCATCAGCAAGGATTGGCACTAGTCTTGCAGCCCCAAGTCTGAGGGTGACACTCTGAGCTGAGGCCCATCCCTGGGGAGGCGTTTCTTATCGAGGCCAGGTCGGCCTCTGGCTTCTTGCCAACTGGAATACCTTCCTCCCGCAGGGTCCTGGTACCTGGTGGGGCACTCGTGCCCTGTGTCCCTATTGGTTGTTTGAGACCTGCTTCCTTCCCTTTCTGTTCACCCTATTTCCGCCTCATCGCCAGTCACTTTCCTGGGCTGCAACCTGTTTTGCCATGCTCTGCATCCACCTTGGACTTGGAGCTTGCATACCAAGTTCCTCCAGGCTGAACTAACTGGAGTTGGGCAGCATTTGACAGTCTTCTTTGGATAGGATCTCCTATTAGCTCTATAAGGGCTGTGCTGCTCATTTTCTGTTCACTCCCATCCCCACCCCAGAGATCTGAGCTGCACTTCTCCACTCTGCTGGGAGCCCTGCGATGCTAACCTCATGGACTGCATACTTAGATTCCTGGAGGGGAAAAGGGATTGACCCCAGATAGTTCTAGTAAGGAAACCTTACTCATAGGGCTTTTAGAGGTGTGGGCAGGGTTGTGGAAACAAATAAGGCAGGTGAGGCACCCAGACACTAGCAAAAATGAGAAGCAGTTACCACCTCTATGGCTATGAGGACAAGGAGGGGCAGTTGCACTCACAGAGCTCCGTGGGGGCTGGAACCATGGAACAAGAGCTACCTGGGAGGAACTGGGGTCTTGGAGGGATGCAGCCATTGCCAGAAAAGGCCTTCTACCCCAGGGGAGGAGTTGGGAAGAGGTACTCCAGCCACTTTCCCCTCCCAACTGATAAGAAAGTCCATGGGGTTAGTGGGTAGAGGGTATTGTTCACAGAGCACATGTATAGAGTACAGAGTATAGAGTAGGGCTGAAAAGGGCAGGTCAGATCTCTGGGGTGGGGATTCGGGTAAATGCAGAATAGCACCGCCTTTCTTCAGGTTTCCCTTCAGTAGCACATCATGTACAGGTGTATTCTCACCAGGTTATAAGCTCCATGAGAATGGATTTTTTTTTTAAATTGTGTTTTTATTTTCAATGGATAAATTACAATTGTGTATTTTTATGGGGTACAATGTGATATTTTGATGCATATATACGATGTGGAATGATTAAGTCAAGCTAATTAACATATCCATCACCACACATATATATGTTTTGTGGTGAGAATATTTGAAATTTACTCTCAGCAATTTTGAAATATACAATACATTGTTAGTAACCGTAGTCACCATGCTATGTAGAGATCTCGAAAAGTGAGATGATGCAGATGTTTCTGTGCCTGGCTTACCCCATGGACTGTATCTAGCATCCTGCCTTCCAGGTTCATCCATGTTGTCATAAATGGCAGAATTCCTTTCTCTTTTCTTTTCCTACCTTCCTCTCTCTCCCTCCCTTCCTTCCTTCCTTCCTTCCTTCCTTCCTTCCTTCCTTCCTTCCTTCCTTCCTTCCTTCCTTCCTTCCCTCCTTCCTTCCTTCCTTCCCTCCTTCTTTCCTTCTTTTTCTCTTCTTTTTTTAACAGCGTCTTGCTCTGTCACCAGGTTGGAGTGCAGTGGCGCCATCTCAGCAACCTCTGCCTCCCTGCTTCAAATAATTCTGGTGCCTCAGCCTCCCAAGTAGCTGGGATTACAGGTGTGCACCACCGAGTCTGGCCACTTTTTGTATTTTTCGTAGAGACAGGGTTTCACCATGTTGGTCAGGCTGGTCTCGAACTCCTGACCTCAAGTGATCCACCCACCTTGGCCTCCTGAAGTGCTGGGATTACAGGCGTAAGCCACTGCGACTGCCAGAATTCCTTTCTTTTTAATGTCTGAATAGTATCCCATTGTGTACGTAAACCACATTTTCTTTATCCACTCATCTGTTGATGGCCACTTAGGTTGACTCCATATTTTGACTATTGTGACTATTGTGAAGAGGCACAGATCTCTTTGACATCCTGGTTTCAAATCAAGTCTGAGGTTTTGTTTTTGTTTTTTGACTGATACTGATGTAGCTCAAGCACCTAGAACAATGTCTGGTACATAATAGATTCTCAACAAACGCCCCTATCTGCCCTGGCCCGTCATTCTGAGCTGGGCAGCACCTTAGTGTGGTGACTTCAGAAGCCTTCCTAAGTCTGGTGATCCGACCCACGCAGAGGGCTCTAATGCCATGGCTGGGGTGCCATGGGAAGGTTCCAGCTGTGCTCTCTCTGTGTGGAGGATGAACCTAATACTTCAGGCAGCCTTGGCTTCAGGTGTACCAGTGAGGGTGGGAGATGGGACGAGAACTGTGAGTGATAGCCGTGTGCAAGACACAGGCCTCATGTTTCTTTCTGACCTTGAACTCCCTCTGCAGGTGGCTCCATGTTAATCTCTGCAGTCTGCTGCTTCTTCCTGTTTTTTGGCAACAGCGAGTCTGCGATGATTGGCTGGCAGTGCCTGTTTTGTGGGACAAGCATTGCGGCCTGGAATGCTCTGGATGTGATCACAGTGGAGCTGTATCCCACCAACCAGAGGTCAGTTCTTCCATGGGCTTTCCTCAGGGACTTGTTTGGGTTTCTTTGGTCAGAAGTCTACCTGCTCCCTGAATCTCATGCTGTGTATGGCCATCGTGGTCTTTCTGCTGTTCCATGAAACAAACATCTCTTACGTTGGGCTTCTCCTGCATGGGGGATGGCATAGACCTGAAAGTTGGCAGGCTAGGGCTTGATAAGGTTGGAAGGATGGCAAGAAGCAAAGGATGGGAGCAGACTATGTCCAGGAGAAGGAAATAAGAGTGAAAAGTTGGCAAAACCATACATGTCATGTAATCCACAAGAGAGAACAGACCTGCCAATGGGAGATAAGGCAAAAAAGTGAAGAACTGGAATAGCACAGGGGCAGGGAGATAAATAAAGCTCAAGAGGCAGCATGAAGTCCAGGGAATCTGCAGAGAATGTGGCAGGGAGACCCAGGGGTTACTTTTATTTTGCACAGGTCATATATGGGGAGAGGCCTGGTTTAAAGGCATAGGGTGAAAGTCATTACTTAGTAATTGTTTTTCTTCGTGGAGGGGGAATTGTGAATTTTAAGGAGAGAAGATAAGAGGCCCCGTGTTCAAAAAGGAATGTGAAATGGTAAGGAAGGTGGGTAAATGAAATTCTGCAAAAACCTTAGTGATATTTCCAAAATTGGCGACAGAGGTGTTGGGATATAGATAACTAAGGAAGAACACAATGTGTCATATTTGGAGCCCCTCTCATTTGAGTCAAAGAACTGCTAAGTTTTATGCAAGATAACAGGAGGACAAATGATTATTATTTGAATATGATGTGATTTTACATCTAGGAAACCTAAGAGAATCAACTAATGAGACTACTAGAGAGAAAAAGACAATTTGGTCAGGTGGTCAGTAATAAAACTAAATTATGTATAGGTTTGAAAATATATTGAAAAAGTTAAAGATGCAATTCAAATCCATTTAATAACAGCAGACATCATAAAATAATCAGGGATCAACTTGACAAGTGAAACACTTAAATGAAGAAAACCATAAAGCTTTACTAAGAGATATTTTAAAAAGACATATAAGAGAAGATAAATATATGCCAGCTCAGTGACTTGGGAGGCCGAGGCAAAAGGATTGCTTGAAGGCAGGAGTTTGAGATCAGCCTGGGCAATATAGTGAGATCCCATCTCTACAAAATAGTTTAGAAAATTAGCCAGGCATAGTGGCATGTGCCTGTAGTCCTAATTACTCAGGAGGCTGAGGGGGAGAGCTGCTAGAGCCCCAGGGGTTCAAGGTTATAGTGAGCTAGGATCACAACACTGCACACCAGCCTGGGTGACAGAGACAGACCCTGTCTCAGAAAATGTATATATTTATGGATTATATATTTATATATAATTATGATAATATATATAATTGGTAGCACATAATTAGTATATTTTTATTATATATAAATAAATGCATATATATTTAAGAGACAAGATATACCTAATTTTGGATAAGAAGATTCAATCTTACAAAAATGTCAAATTGTATTTAGTTTTTTTCTAACATAAAAGAGTTCATTCAAAATTCAACAAGTTTTTTTTCCCCCCTGGGAACTTCAAAAAAGTTTATTTTAAAAAGTACATATGTTAAAAGATCCAAGAAAATACAAAAACAAAAATACTAAGACAAACGAACGAAAAAGACTGGGTTGGTGATTATAAAGCTACAGTGTGGTACAGTTATAGACAAAAATGAAAGAAGAGTTTTAAGTACAAAAATATACCCACTTTCTTAATAAACTTGTGGTACGAGAAAGAAACATTTGATTTCACTTGGGGAGAGGTAGTATTGGGAATATTGCCTCTGCATACAGATGGGGTCATGAAAGAATAAATGATTAGTAATAGTTCTCACTGGAAAGTGGGATTGAAAGATCATAATTAGGATTAGGTTTTGCTGTGGCTGACAGAAACCTCAAATACATTGCTGTGGTCTTGAGAAGGTTAAGCATTGCATTTTTTCTTTCCTGAAAAAGTCTGGAGTGGGTGGTGCAGGCTCTTTCTATCTCATTGCTTTTCATTGCATGGACTCACCATGGTCCAAAATGAAACCATCTGTGTTCCATCATGAAGCAGGGTAGAAGGAAAAGAATGAAGGGGAACAGAGCAAAAGGCCCACCCACAATGTCCCTTAAGGAAGCTTCTTGGAAACTGCCGCCACTTTCACTTACATCCCATTGGCCAAAACTAAGTCACATGGCCATTCTCAGCAGCAAATGAGTCTGGGAAATGTAGTCCTACCTTTGGGGCAATGCTATTTGGGGGCAACTGGCAGTCTCTGCTTCAGGAGGGTTGAGAATGTTAAAAGGGGGAACACTTACATTTTCTGCTTTGCATACTTCTTCATCCTTTCAGGATTTCCATAGTAAGCATGTCGTACCTGTAAAAAATTTTTAAATAGGTATCTTTGAAAAAAAAAAAAAACCAAAAAAGAAAAACACTTGAAGAAAATACTTCAAAATGTTAACAGAGGTGATTGTCTCTCGGTGAAGAGGTTAGATATCCATGCATCTTTATATTATTCTGTATTTCCAAATTTGACTACAATGAGAATGTGTTATTTTTCTATTTAGGAAAAAGAATTCCCTCGTACCCCTCTTCCCCCTGCAATAAGGAAAAGAAAGATTCCAGTCCTGTTCATCTAATGGGGTTCAGAATGTCAGAATTATTTCCATTCTTCTTCTTTTACAGAGCAACAGCCTTTGGCATTCTCAATGGATTATGCAAATTTGGCGCCATCCTGGGAAACACCATATTTGCTTCTTTTGTTGGGATAACCAAAGTGGTCCCCATCCTTCTGGCTGCTGCTTCTCTGGTTGGGGGTGGCCTGATTGCCCTTCGACTGCCAGAGACTCGAGAACAGGTCCTGATGTGAACCACCTATGGGAAAAGGAAAGGTCAAGAGAATCTTGTCCAGGACACTAAAATGCATCCACACTTCCTGCCTATCACGGTCCAGAGGGCACCTCGGATAACACGCGAGGAGAAGTTGACTTTGTGACCCCTAGTTTAGGACCCACTTCAGCTGTCAATATGTTTGTAACTCAGGTGACTGTTTTGGGGGTGCCCTGAGCCACCCTTAGAATCATAGAGCTGCGCGTTTAACTTCAGGTCTTCCCAGTCCAAGGCAGGGAGAGGATTCTCCAGTGAGTGCACACACTATGCGAGGAGTAAGCATTTCTGTAAGTCAAGTGCAAGGACTTACTTGCATTTCAAAAGGAATTAGAGGGTAAGAAATACCCAAGCTCCTCCATAAAGCTCCTTGGAGCCCAACAACTTAACAAATCAACTTGGCTGGAAGTTAGAGTCATTATATGAAGATTGGGCTTGAAGTACAGGATACATATATTTTTGCATTTAAAAGTATCACCTATCATATTTTCCACTCGAATACTGGCATGGTAGCATTGAGAATACTCTGATCTGGAAAGCCAAATATTTGAGCAACATCTATAGAGATCTACTTTTCTCCTAAGTCTCCTAGGCTTTCCATGATAATTAGGTGATACATTTAAGAAGGATATTTATTTCTGTTTTGCTCTATTCAAAGAAATTGAATGAGTTAGGTATTCTGTAAACTAAGTTTGTATATAACTTTATTTGGGTTTAATTTCCACAACTGGTATCTGCAAATATTGCCAGCATTTTAGCCATATTTTGGGAGAACTTGGTGTTTAAGGTCCCAGGAAATGAGGTCTGATCAAAAGAAATGCAAGCACAATTTCTTACAGCCATTTAACTTTCTGCTGGGAGGATGTACTTAACAAACTCACGTTGTGCAGTCCAGTTAATCCAGGCACTTTGTTTGTGCAGTTGGAGTGAGTAGTTACTTCTCTGTCTTACACAGATGACTTGTGAAACTCAAGCTTACCATCTTCAGTGCTGGCATTTTACTTTGCCACTCACCCCAAAACAACGTGAGATGTGTTCAGTGGCCTCTGGTACTCTTTCTGGCAAGAATCAAACAACATGGGGACTGAGGGAGGGATGGGGAAGTGTAGCCACAGTTCTTCCAAGTGTAAATACTTTTTGTTTGTTCTAGCGGTAAAATGCAAATGCAATCCATATTTGTTAGAATGGTTGGGTCTCATGAGAAATCTATGCTATGTGTCCAGGGCTTTTGAAACAGAGTCCATTGGAGTGGGAGTTAGGGAGTGTAGTGGATGCCAAATATGTCTTTCTTCAGTGCTTAAGAGAACTCTTTCCTGAAATCCAGTTTTGAACATAAACAGGGGTGTGGGTTGGGGGAGGAGCCTAGGACAAACCTGTCTGATGAAGGTCAGCAATAGACTGAAGTCTTGACTGCATGGAAGAGGAACAACATCAGAAGTGTCTGACAATGGAGGGGACAGTGAGCTATGCACAACCGCCAGTGGAGGTGAACTTGAACCTGCCCAGGCCGAATGAACATCAGCCTGCAAGAACTAGTTCTTTGAATTGATTTGCAATGCTCTCAATGGCTATAAAGTGCCACATTTTCCCTGCCAGAGATCTCCAAAAATTTCAAACAGAAGAATAATGGCTGCATCGAGTGTTTTCTCAGTTTTGGAGAAATGCTTAGGTCCTATGATAGCTTCGGGACATCTTTCTGTAATTTTCCTCAATTAATGGGTTGGTAGGGGTAAATCTTATGACACCTTTCCACCGTCGATTTGTGATCAGTTTTAATGGTTAAAATGTTTACTCTGCTTCTGTCAACCCTCACCTTTTTATTTACACCCCTCCCTTTTTTTCTGTACAGGGAGAGAAGACATATCGACTCTGACTGGACACCCTGATTCCTCCAAATATATATACCACTGTGTATTAATCTTTCTCTCAGTGTTTTATAGGGGTGCCTAACATAATGCTGTGTCAATAATGAAAGGCTTGATGTAATATAGCTGTAATTTACCTTCCATATGAATGCAGTGGTTAGTTAGGTTCATAAAAGAGAATTGTGTGAGTCTGGGATTACCACATCTAAAACATTATTCTTTAATGGGATAATACAATTCATTGAACAGCTACCACTTAAAAAATTTGCAGGACAGTTAGAGCCTGCATTTCTAGTTAAGATGGATCTTGTAAATTTAAAATTGGATTAACTTTTGAGTGCTGGGGTGGCTGCAATAATTTGGGGGCTAACTCCATTTGGTTTCCAAGCTCTCACTTCTGCATTATCTTTACGGGTCTTTAAACCAGCCACCTAACAATCAGCAATTCCCATCTGATCTATCACTCAGGCTTTTGTAAAGAGTGCAGCCAAGCTCTGCAGACTTTTCTCATGAAGGATTGTCTAGCACGAGTACCTGGCTACTTAAATGCTGTCACTCCTGCTGAGATAAATGCGTCTTTAAAAATAGTCTCTGTGGCAGGTCACTGGGGGACAATGTACAGCATCTGGCCATCCACTTCTTTTTCATTTCATGTTCTACCCCAAGAGACTCCCGATGTCGGCTGTGGAGGGTTAAAAGGATGAGGCTCTCCTTTGTTTAGCAAATCTGTTCACAGTTCATGATGATGTATTTTATGATGCCAAGCTTGGAGATAGTTGCTTTCCGTAGTCCCAACTGTATTGTGTCATCTCCTGATACTGATTTTTGATCTTTTGTTTTATTAAAAATAATTAGTGAAAGAGGTGTGCCTATCTGTGAAGTTTGTAGTACATTATCCTGAAGTTATGTAACAACCCCCAACCCCAGCGTTCCCTGCTACCTTGTGTTCATTAAAACTAAACAATAAAAATAACTGTAAGAAAACCTTAAGAACTGGGGTTAGAGATTATTTTCAGGCACTAGGATCTCTTTTGTATTCCTAAATTGATTGAATCAGCAGGGAGAAACATCGAGAATCGCTTCCTTCAACTTTTTATTTTGCAACATGGGGACCTCAAGAGGTTAAATGATGTGGCCCAGGTTACATGTAATGTGAGGAGAGGGTGACAAGGCCTAAGGTGATGCTCTTGTGACAATTCTGGGGAAGCCTGCAGTTTGGGGAATGGGACAATGTGACACATATTCTCCGTTCCCTGAGACCATTCATTGACTATCCCTTGGTGTTTTTACTAGAATGAGAGGAAGCATCAGTTTAAACATAAAAAAGATTAGTATTCGTTCATTCATTCATTCATTCATTCATTCATTCATTCATTCAGCAAATCCTTATTGAGCCCTGACTGTGGGCCAGTCCCTGTGCCAAGTCCTGGGGACATAGTGATGAAAAAACTGGTTACATTTTCTGCCTCCTGCCTCATTCCACTTACAGGGAGTAGGCAAGTGGATATTAAATTGGCCATAAACACTGAGGACAATGACCTTACAATCCGCAAAATGCACCTTTCGTTTGTAAAAATATTGCTACTACTTTACTTGTCAGCTGTGGATTTCCAAATGTGGTGGCTCCCTCCTCTTTTTTTTTTTTTTTCCTTTGAGGAGTGTACCATTTTTTTATCTTTATAAACTAGGTAAGGGAAATGATGCACTTGCCCGTTTTCTACAGACCTAATCGATTTTTACGTAATCAGTTTTACAGAAAATGTTACATGGAAGAAGAGATAGGGGCCAGGAATGCAAGAGGGACATTGGTGAGTGGGGTAAGAATCCCAGTAGCCCTGGGAAAGGTGTCTCCACTTCCACATCTGGCTTTTCTAGGAGGCATGTGTGCTAAATGACCTGGGATTGTGTTGGATGGCATACGACTGAAAGTTCAAAGAAACCAATTTATAATAAGTTTACAGTTTAGGAAAAAGAATTCCCTTTCACCCCTCATCCCCCTGCAATAAGGAAAAGAAAGAGCCCAGTATCACCTAATTATCGTGGAAATTATTTTACTCTCATATGAAGGGAATCTGGAGGAAGGAAAGCCAGGGCTGGTGTGGCTGCCTTTTGATCCCTGGGAGCACACTCCTGCCTTCAGACTCCTTGATCTTGAGTGCACAGTTTCCATCACTGAGGCTGCCTCATGGGCTAAGATGGCTATTGAAGCACTGATCCTCGCATCCACATTTCAGGCAGGAAGCAGAATGAAGGGCGATGGGCAAAGGGGCTGTGCCTTGCAGCCGAGCCAGTCTCCCTTTGCTGCAGAGGAGGCAGGGAAATGTGGTATTTACTGGGAACATTGCCGCCCCTCCCCCAAATTGAGGGTCTTGGCTCCAAGGATGAAAGCCGGAAAGGATAGGTGGATCAGTGCTTCTTAAACTTTTGCATGCATCAGAATCACCCAGAAAGATGTTAAAACTCACTCTGCAGGGCCCTACCCCCAGAGATTTGGATTCAGTAAATCTGGGGTGGGGTCTGAAGAATCTACATTTTTTAACAAACTCCCAGGTTACATAGATGGTGTCAATTCTCAAGCCATATTTTGAGTAGCACTGACACTCTTCCAATAGGTAGTACTTTCATTTGTCAGGGAAGTTCTATTGCTCTGATAACTTCAACCCAACCAGAAGCTCACAAAAACTAGCAACCCATGAAAAATGATCATCATTTCCCTAGAGCTCTGAGACAACTAGTGGTAGTGCAACAGTAACCCAAAAATGTCAATGAAAATATTTCCTTCCCCAGAAACTGCTTGGTTTCACTCAGGTCCTGTCCTTATGGGTCTGCGTCTGGTTGCAGGGCTTGAAGTATTTGGGAAGCTTAGCAAAGGGTGAGCCCTTTCCCCTGGGGGTTGGTGATCTTTGTTTTGGCCATTTCCACCTGGTGAAGATTTTCATAGACAAACATGCTTGTGGCATCTTGTAATTCATTGTGCCTTATGATGGGCCTCTGGTTCTATAAGCTTCCCCCTAGCTAGGGATCCACGGGGGTGATCGAGATGTGACTGGATGTGAACCTGACCTGCTGACAGTCCACCTGAACTTGCCTACAAATGTCTCTTGAAAAGGATGAAAAGCCTCCTCCTTTAGACAAGGAAGACAGAGTGGGGTAAATTTCTCTACATAGATCTCATTCGAAAACAAATTTACAGAATGCAGAATGGCTACTGTGTGTCTTGTGCTATGCTAGGTCTCTCTCTCTACATGGACTTTGACCCTGTCCGAAACATTGTGCTTTTATGCGTAGTTGTGTCACATTTAGGCCCAGCCCTAAGAACAGTTTGAAAATAAATCACATACAGCCTTTGATTGTGAGGCAAGCTTAAAGTACATTTTGTTTGATTTGCAGAGGCATGGTGAGGAATTTATATGCATGGCTGTTGTGGCAGCAGTGAGATTTCCAAAAAGATGAATGATGAAACAGACTGAAGCTATCTCACAAATGTTAAATGGAGAAATAAAAGTTGTTATAGTCATGCTAATTACAGAATGAGCAAGAGATTTATTTAGCAGGACCATACTATGCCCCTTGGAAGGTTCAGTTTATGAGCTAGAGCACAAGGATTTACTGTCATTTCACCTGAAAACACACATTTAGCTGTCCATTTACCTTTAGTCTTACTGACTTAAAATACTTTAAAATTTCAGAAACCATTAAAATGTATTCCTTTAGAAAGCAAAGCTCTTTCAGAAGCTGTCCTCTACCAAAGTTAATGTGGTCACCACATTTGATGATTTTGCTAGGTAGGGAGGTTTATTTAATCACAGCTACTGTCACTCAGGAGGATGAGCCATTCAAAAACGATGGCCCTGTCCTCCGCTTCTTACCTACCACATATAATCTCAGTAATTCAGATTTCTCTAAATCAGCATTAGTGATCATTTCAACAGGGTATGAACAAAAGGCCTATAAAAATAGCTTTCCAGCTCGCCACCAAAAATGCAAAAAATGGTAAGTATGTGAGGTAATGCATGTGTTAAATAGCTTGATTTAGTCACCCTACAATGTGGGTGTGTATATATACAGACATATGTATATATACACATTATGTTGTACACCATAAATATATAGAAATTTTACTAGTCAATTAAAACTACAAATAAAGTGGCTTTCCAGAAAAATTAGATATTGGACTCTATTACAAAGGAATTGCATAAAAATACTTACAAACATAACTAAAAGCAGTTGATGAGCAAATTACAAATGACTGTTTTTTATTAAAGCATTCCTCCAAAAGAAAGGGAAAGCAAATTCTATACACACCCAAAATACTGAAAGTGACAAAACAATACTTCTTTAAAATGTATTTTATGATATATTGATTGATATTCGAGTGGTTTTAAGTAGGATAATTTTCCAAAACCTAAGTGCTACATATTTTACAGTGGAAATATCAACCTTATCATGAGCTAAAGATTTGCAATCAGAATGTTGGTAGTGCATTGCTAAGTTACGACAAGTGTCACAGGACAAGGATATTTGGTAGGTATCCTTAAATATATAGATGCTTACCAGTAGGTTTAATAGATGATTTCTGAAAGGTTGCCCAACTTTTTATTTCATTTTTTAATTTTAATTTTAATTTTTTTTTTGAGACAGAGTCTCACTCTGTCAACCAGGCTGGAGTGCAGTGACGCGATTTTGGCTTGCTGCAACTCCACCTCCTGGGTTCAAGCGATTCTCCCACCTCAGCCTCCCGAGTAGCTGGGATTACAGGCACGCACCACCATACCTGGCTAATTTTTGCATTTTTAGTAGAGACAGGGTTTCGCCATGTTGGCCAGGCTGGTCTCGAACTCCTGACCTCAAGCGATCTGCCCGCCTCAGCCTCCCAAAGTGCTGGGATTACAGATGTGAGCCACTGTGCCCGGTCCCAACTTTTTAAAATTAAATTTTGGGGAAGTTCATGGAGATATTTTTGACATATAAAAATAATTTTAAAAACCCTTCCATAGTGTGTGCATATATACACACAACTTTCGGTTTAATATACTTGCCATGCATTAGTCAGTTTTGATTCAGATTACATAAGGGATAAAATATAAAAAGACGTTTTAAAGTTTGAAATATGTGCTAAGTAGTCAGAGAGAGATTTGGCAGTTTTGTCACATTTCAAATGGGCCAAACATTAAAATAACTTATCCATGAATTTCAGGTTTCAAGGAAGGAGGCATATCTAAGGCTATTTTTTGTGTGTGAGATTTGGTCTCAGTTTTTTGGTCCATCTGAATCCTGGAGGTCCCCAACTCTACCAGACCAAAAGCATGTCTCTATTTTTTGTTATTGCTTCTCTGTTCTTGATGTAATGAGTTAAGTAGATGGAAGAGATTAAGGGGCAGGGAAGGGCTCTTAAAAGTTCAATGGTTCAACTTTCCATAGTGATTCATGCTTATGAATCTTCTTCCTCTTCTATTTCAAAGTAGCCAAAACTTGGGAAGTTCAAATTAATCTCTGGGCTCCAAAGAGCAATTCTGAAGGATTAACAGGTTTCATTCTCTCTAGTGGGAGGTGGCCTAGACAGGTGCCCGTTTTGGGGAGAGGTGAGAGTACCCAGATGTGGGTGACTATTCCTGTTCTTCCCTGAATGTCAGGCTAGTGGTCTTGAATCATTCGCACAGCAACTGCTACAAGTGACTATCTTAATCCTTTGACTAGATGGGATACTTCTTCTAGCTTTTCAGAGGTGAGCTGCTGAGTAGTAATGTCCGCTACAACAATATGCTCCCGGAATGGTGGTTCCTAAGAGCAAAGTCAATTAATACAATTTCTCCAGGTATCTAGCTGTCTCCAGGTGTGTGGTCCCATGAAGCACTCTAAGTACTGTAAACAATACTTCATAGGTATAGAAGGCATTTGTAATACTGTTGGTTCAAATGTGCTGACATGTAGCCAGTGGAGGAAGATGTTTCTTTGGAAGCCTGCCATCTTTCTGTAATGCACCTTCAACC